AACACCCCCATGGCTATTCTGTAACTACCAATTCATACTTCTTAATCCCCTCACCTCTTTGCCCACTCCCCCACACCCTCCTCCCATCTGGCAACATCGAAACACTCTCTGTATCCATGATTCTGTCTGTTCTTGTTTGCTTAGTTGTTTTTTAGATTCAGTTGACAGATATGTGTTTATTCCCATTTTATTGTTCACAGTATTGATCTTTTTCTTAAATAAGTCCCTTTAACATTTTATATAATGATGGTTTGGTGATGATGAACTTTAGTTTTTTCTTGCCTGGGAGGTTCTTTATCTACCCTTTGATTCTAAATGATAGCTTTGCTGGGTAGAGCAATCTTGGCTGTAGGTCCCTGCTTTTCATGACTTTGAACAATTCTTGCCAATCCCTTCTAGCCTGCAAAGTTTCTTTTGAGAAACCAGCTGACAGTCTTATATGAACTCTCTTGTAGGTAACTAACTACTGTTCTCTTGCTGCTTTTAAGATGGTGATGTTAAGTAGACATGGCTTGCCTCTTCACACAACCACACTGAACTTACAACTAAGCCTTAGCTGGTGTGGCTCGTGGATTGGGTCCAGGCCTGCGAACTGAAAGGTCTCTAGTTTGATTCCCAGTCAAGGCATGTGCATGGATGGGTTGCAGGCCCAGTACCCAGTTGGAGGCATGCAAGAGGCAACTGATCAATGTTTCTCTCCTTTTCTTCCTCCCTTCCTCTCTCTAAAAATAAATAAAATCTTTTAAACATAAATATTTGTAATAACTTTCTTTTGAAGTATTTTCCTTATATAATTTTAAGATCTTCCATCCCCTTGTATTTTAGGAATGTGTTTCTTCAGATTGAGATCATTTTATTCACAGCGCCCCCATTTGAAAGCAGTTCTAGTTCAAGTGGAACTCCTTTAGAAGAGACTTCTGCATAAAGTTCTTCACTTACAGGTGTTACAATGAACAATACTTTCTAGGAGGGTTATTCACTTCATCCAAAGGAAGGTTATATGGAATTGATGCCTTTGTAGACAGGTGGTAGTTTTTTGTAAGTAACTTATTCTTAAACTTTGAAGTTTTTTTCCTTGGTAATGGTAATTGCCAATCATCTGGTATCAGTATATTTTAGTCACTGTTTATTATAATTTTTGATAGTTTAAATACAAAACTATATTTTATCATTTCAAGAGATCTATAAAGAACATTTACCTTTAGACCTTAAAAGGATTTTAGAGATTACCTAAGAAAGCTTTTATTTTACAGATAAAGAAATTAAGGTGAATTTTATAGGTAAAATTTAAATTCTATGTACGTAATGATACTTGAGAAGTATTTTGAAAGCTAATGGAAATGACTACTCTAATATATCAGAAAAAGCAGTGGTAATGTAATAATTACCAATATTTAACATGCATAAGTATCTCCTGGGGGAGTTTGTTAAAATTTTAGATACCCTGGCCCACTTCAAGAAATAGTGATTCACCATGGCTGAAGACTGAAATTATGTGTTTTAACAAGTACCACCAGGTGATATGCAAACCAGTTTAACAGATACAGTGGAATAAACTGCATTCAAAATTCTAGTACCTGGATCCATTATTCAGTCACTGAGTGACCTTGTGTAAGTCACTGCCTATCCTCTACGAACCAATTTAAAAAATGTTATTTTTTCTATAAGTAACATTTGACTTTCATGGACAAGTATGCTCTCTTCTTATTTCCATAAAATTGTTATGGAATCCACTACATTCTATCTTGAATTTCAGTTATGTGCCATACTTTTTTATTCCTATTAGACTGAAAATAATTCCATCTTACTCAATCTTTTTTACCTTTCATTAGCTGTTCTCATTTAATGCCAAATTTCATTCTGTTCAATCATTTACTGAATATTATACATAGTAGAACTGAGAATTAAACATAGTTTTAGTTCCTATGGCTTTACTACCACACTATAGAATATATCTAAAAACATCTGTCGAATTTTTTAAAAGATTTTATTTATTTTTAGAGAGAACGAAACGGAGAAAGAATGGGAGAGAAACATCAGTTGCAGCGATTGCCTCTCATACACACCGACCAGGGACCAAACCCGCAACCCAGTCACATACCCTGACCGGGAATCCAACCTGTAACCTTTTGCTTTGTAGGATGACACCCAACAAGCTGAGCCACAATGGTCAGGGCTATTTTCCAAATTTAATTAATTGGCTATGTTGCCATAATCATTTTTTAAATAAGACATTATTAATGTAGTTTGAAGTAATTAAAATGTTTTCTAAAATATCCCCCCCTCAAAATATTATGGTCTTTTTTTCTGCACTCCAACAGCAATCTGAATATATTAGTATTATAACTTAGGATAATTTATTATTATTTCTTTACATTTGTTTTATTCCAACTGATTGTGGACATTTTGACATCTCTAGTATTTACTACAATACCTAGCACATAAGCAATAGATAATTTTATTGAACATTCAGGAGACTGAAAAGAATCTTAATAATGGTATTTATTAAAAGGGAATGCCTGAGAAATCAATTTAAAGGAAGAAATCACCAACTGATCACTGATTGTATTTCAATCTCTAAACAGATAAAGCTTTTCCTGTTGAAACTGATATACTTACCTAAAAGTGAAAGATTAGGCCAGAGGAATGGATATTATCAGTCAAGAAAAAAGAATTCAGGGGAAAAACAGAGCTATGAATACAGTACTCTAAGAGTACCCAAAACAAAAGAGGATAATCAATGAAGTTTTCTTCGTCCCCAGGTAATGTTATATAAATATACACTAGTAAAAAATATCTGTTGAGCATCTATCATGTGCCAGGCACTGTGCTAGATGCTAGATAACGTACCAAATGGATAATATGTAGGCAGATAATCAAAGCAAATGATAATACAGTATGCTTTAATAATTCAGTTTATTAACTACCTGGGTAATTCAATTATACTTGAAAGTATCCTGACTCAAGTTCTGTCCAGCTTGTTCATGTAAGACAGTGTTAGAAATTTTTGTTAATCATTGAGGCAAAAAATATGGTATCATGGAATTACCATATATATTTAATTAATTAGGTTCTGATAGTACCTATTCTTAATCAAGGGTAAAATTGGAGAAAAACCATCTCAAAGAGGTTTACCACTTAATTAAACAAATGATTCTTTAGCATCTCTTCTGTGCCTCATATAGAACTATGCACTCAAAACAGGGAATAAGTCACAATTAATACCAATAGCCTGCCCGGACCTCTGGGAGTAGGTGGAGGGCTGGAAGTCAGGTGAACAGGAGTGGCCACTGGAGGAGATCGCAAACTGCTGGGGACAGTGAGCTGGCCGCTGGTGTCCTGGTAACCCAGCTTGAGCCTTGCAAACACTCCTCCCCAGTGCAGAGCGACCTGCTCTTGGTGGGAGATGCCCCATCCCCAGGCAAGATGAATGGCCAGAGAAAGTATTGCACTGAGCACGCAAGACTAGCAAGACAATTGGATAGGGGAAAAGCCCTCCTACCCGCTTCTGGTACCTGATTGAGGGTGGGACCAGGGAAAAGAAGGCACAGTGCACAATAGAGGTCAGAATGGCAGCAGGAGGCCAGGTACTGGATTGAAGAAGCCTGTCATTTTAGCCTGGGGAAAATAAGGGATTGGTGGTGTGTGTTTGGGGGGGGGGGGGGGGGTGGATCCTTCCAGACTGTGAAGAAATTTGGAAAGTTAACAGGGCATTTCTGAGAAAGCACTTGGCCCATCCCAATCCTGAAACTAATATAATTCCAAGAGAAGGAAGGGGTGCCCTCTTACCCACCCCTGGAACATCCTGGCTGGTGGGTGCATTTGCAGGACTTTCTGGCCCTGGAAGCCACATGGCCAATGGCAGCACAGGGCTCACAAGTAGATTCCAGGAGGGAACTTGAGACCTGACAGTGACCAGGAGAAAAGCTGAGCTGCCTGGATGACCACTCAGTGGCCACCTGTGGTTCCCAAGCGATGGTATTTTAAATGGGAGACGGAACTCTGGATGCTGCCTTCAGGTTTGTTCTGGCTGAGGATGGCTGGATTTTCCTCAGGGTTCCCTGTAGGGGATGGGCTTTGAGACAAGAGTCTGCCATTCTCCCAGTTTGTGCAGCATTTGAATAAAAACCTTTTTTCCTTTTTCACCAGCCTCTGCCTCTAGAATTTGCCCATTAGTGGGAGTGGGCAGCTGAACCCCTACTTTGGTTCAGTAACAAAATTATTTACAAGGTTCATGAAACCTCGTGGAAGAAGCCAGACATAAAAACAATGATGACACTATTTATTTAATAAGCATTTTTTTCCCAAAGACTGTCATAAAGTGGGATCTTTCATGTGATGCTGGTTTTGGAGGTCAAAAAGCAATATTTATGTATTCATCCTTTTTATACAACCAAAAAAATCCTTGTCCTTGGTACTTTAATGAATCATATCTGTATAGCACTGACTACACTGAAAAATGAATCCCATAAACTACAGATCATTCTAGTAATTGATTATACCAACAGAAGATCTCTCATTTCTCCCCGACATCAACATTCTATTTTCAGCATGTTATGGTTCTGTCCTCAAGCCAGACTATTCTTTAAACAAATATTTCAACCCAGATTTTCTTCCTTTTGTCTGGATGCTTTTCAACAAATTTACAGAAAAGGTATCTATCCTCTAAAAACTATCTCATGCAAATTTTCTCAATTTCCAAACAAACTGATGTCACACTCTAATTTGTATGGTAATTATTTTTGCTGTTATCTTTACCTACCCCCGCCTTCTGTTTCCTCTGAGAATAAGCTACTTGAGGATATCAACCACTTTTCCCTCATCTTGTATGTCCCATAGGTTTAGCATGCAGAAAGGTCTGAGAAAATATTCACTGACTTTAAAAAGTCCAACAAAGTGGTTGTGCTATAAGCAAAAATAATACTTCCACATTGCTTCTGAAACTTAAAGAAACAAACATATTAATGTAAGAGTAAATTAATTTTATTGACTGATGAAAAACTAAAGTGATAAGTATGAATAGTAAACAATAATCATTGCATTCTGTTGGAATTCTGTTTTTCTTCTTTTCACTTTAAGCCAAAAAGACCAAAAATTATAGACTGTTAGTAAGCTAATCATTTAAGTATTTTTTCAACAAAAACTGCATAGCTTAGCAGTTGCACAGCATTAAATATATACATTTTTGCAAAACCCTGAAAATTTAAATTTTTGTGTTGACCTCAAAGGCCAATGGAATCACCTACACTGGTCGAATTCAGAGTTTCTTTTCCCTTTTCTGCCACCCTGTAAAGAAAAATAGGGCAAATTATTGAGGAAATACCATTTGGGGGTATTTGCAAATTAAGAATATATGAAACTGAAGGCATTTTTGAGTATGAGAAAGAAGCAAGTTCTTTTTTGAATTTGTTGCAAATTTGTGCATTCTCCTAAATTATTCTTATAGGGTTATTTTTAAAAACGGTTAAAGTAGTTGTAGAAATCAGTTACATCTATTGGAACTAGCCTAGACTTGCTAAGATCATCAATATCTTATTCTTTAAGAGTTCTTTTAAACTGTCCCAGATTGTTTTTTAAATAAAAATTTTGATTACTACTAAAACAATGTATTCCATATGATCAGCAAATTTAGTTAATTCAGTTAATTACCCTTTTGGGTAATTCAATTTCTAATGCAAGCTTTGTCTAGCCATCTTATCTGATAGCATTGGAAGTCTGGTTTTGTTCTTCACTGGGGTGGAAAGTAGATTGTACTTTTCACATTGCTCAGTGACATATATACATCTGTACTTAATCTGCTCCAACTGAAACTCCATCTATAGTACTTGACTAGGACCAAGAAAAGAGAAAGGCAGCTTAAAAGACAAGAAAAGAAGTATTTTCATTAATTAATTTTCACATTAACATTTTCTGCCTTATTCTGATTTTAAAAGTAAATACTTGTAGAAATATGGGAAGCCCAAAGAAGAAAATTAAAATCATCCATAACTATTTTACCCACCCCATTTTAACCATAAATAATGGTTTGATGTATTTGCCTTACAATAATTTTAGTTTTTTCTCCATTTTTATAAACTATGGCAATGGTACTCGTTTAGTTGATCATTAGAATCACCGAGTAGTAATATTTTTTTTAATTCTAATGTCTAGACTTTGTCCCTGACCTATTTATTCACAATTACCAGGAGTGGGTCAAACTATCTGTAATTCAAAAAGCTCCCAAGTGATTCTGAGGATCAGCCAAGTCTGGGAAAGTGCATTTCTTAAAATGGTGGTTTTATCAAGGGCACTTGAAACCCAGGCCAACTTAATAATGGTGACAGCTTCTCTGTTTTGTTTTGTTTTTTAATCTTTTTTTCTGCATATAACTTTCCTCTTAGTGATCAAAACATTTCTCTAACAATCTTTGTTTTATAAAAATCAAGTCTAAGAACACTGTTATTTATGAACAAATAAAAGTTTTGCAAGAATTCATTCAGAGAAAGTAAGTATAAAGAGGTTACGTAGGACTTGAGATATGTAGTGGTATGTATTAAAAACAAGATTTATTTCCTGACGGCAGGAAAATAAAAATAAATTTACCGATGTCATACAGCTTAAAAATCTTACCTTCCTTCTCAACAAGATTAAAAGAACACACAAAAAATTTTCAAGAATCATTTTCAAAGCCTCCCAGGCAAATTCTCCTTCCCGGACTGATGAGATATCAAAGCTGGGGCTAAACAACTTTAATGTTCACTAGGCCACCAAACCTTTTTGACTATGACCCCACCTTAATCAACATATTTTATGTCATGACTTAGACACACATGCATACATACATACAAATAAATATATAGGTGTGTGTGTATATATAAACACATATACACATACACATATACTTAAAAAAAAAAAGCACTGGTATTTTTTACTGCTTCGTCCAGAAAAAAAATGCTGAATGCCAGCTTGTGAATGCAGAAGAAATGACAGAATTAGAAATTGAATTAGAATAGAACCGAATGAATAATAGAATTAGAAATTCTGTCATTGTAGCTGCTACAAATATCATCAATGGATGCTAAACCATTGAGCAAAAAGAAAAGGATAGTCACACAATCTCAAAGTATCACTCCACATATCATTTATTAATTACAAAGGGGAAAATATACCTTTACAAGGAAGATATCTAAAAGATAATGCTGTACCCAAGTGATTAAACTTATCATATAATGCAAAAAATGGCATGTGCCTTTCCTCAGTATGAGTCAATGGCATGTGTGCCATATCATCTATGTAATAGCAAGAATTTTTCTGAAATACTTTAGTTATTGCCAATATTTTAGTTAATACCATCATCTGGAATAACCTCAACATCTTTCTAAAATGTATATTATATAACAAATATAACAAAATTAATATTTCTGGGGAATAAATTTTGGCCTAAGAACAAAATAGTGCAGTTATTCAATCACATAGTATCTAATTCAAATGTATTATTTGTGATGAAAACACTTTCAAAATTATAAAAGCATACCTGGTATTTGGCTAACTCTGCTTGCAATACTTTCACTTTAGATCTTTCTTGTTCTAATGCAGCATGAAGAGAAGTCACCTATAACCAAATATTCAATTTTTAAGAGACTTTTATTGTCTTTTCAGGCAAATACTCTTAATATTTTTTTAGCATTGTGTAATTGTATATAAAATATTGAATGTAAAAAAATATATGTAATGGCTATATTTTTTAGTCAAGTTTCGTAATTCAAGACTAAAGCACGGCCTAAGAATACCAGTCTTGTGTACAGTTTCCCTTACCTGAATAGTCAGCTCATTCTTGATACTTTGTGATTCATCAACTTGCAGAAGTATTTCTGCTTTATCTTTCACTGATAAGAAAAGGAAAAAGAACTGTATATTCTTTTCAGTCACTCAAAAATTTAACAATATTTCAGTGACCCAAGAAAGCAATGCAGTCAGGCAAAGAAAATTGTCCTCATACTTAAAGAATGCATTTCTTGACCCTACATATAGCTCTTATTTTTTCACTGGTGAATTCTGATTATTATTGCCACAGCAGTTTTCTTGGAAACTTTACATTTTCTATAACATTAAAATATTACTTGTATGAACAGGATGAAACAGTAAAAAGGACAAAAACACAAAGAAATAAAAAATTTCACATAGGGAGAAAACTTTAAATACCTTGACTAATCTTCAAGATTTAAAAAAAAATTGTAGAGTGTTTTTGTTTGTTTGGTTAAATTGCCAAGGTGAGCTTACCAAAAGGCCCACAAAAATTATTTTTATATGACTTTCATGCCCATAAAGCATTGTCAAATAAACATCGCTCCTATGACATAATTGATCATATAACATCTGTGGTCTCTCAAAACTATTCATTTGTCTAGAAATTTTTTTTCTCTTTGGGGGAGCAAGAGATGTATTATTTTGGCCTTTGAGTTTCCTAAGAATTAAAAATCTCCACATGGCTAACAAACTCCATGGTAATGGCTACTGAATGAAAAACTAACTCCTCAACTTTAAAACAAGAGGGAAAAAACAAGATTGAAGAGGTAAAACTATAACTGTTATACAGTTTTTATTGTATTCCCATCTTTTAAAAATATTTCACTAGTGAAGTTTTGGACTATTGTATGCTTCTAAGTCCACTTTACCCACAGACCTTCTGGACTGTATTTTTGGTGTAATGGTCCTATATCAAATTCTTCTACTTGGATTATGTATAGTGTGAGTATGGACACCAATTTTATCTACTGGTAGCCATTTTTAATCCATTATTGAGAGTATGCTTTATTCAGTTAATTTTCTTACTTTTTACAAAGTTTCTTTAACTAAGGAATATTTATTTCACATATTTAAAAATCATACATCCATTGATATCATTAATTTATTCAATTAGAAACATGCTTTATAAACATTTATTTTATTTTCATAATTTTATTCATTCAATGATCCACATGAACTCAGTAATATGAACAAATCTAAATGAACTTCAGGAAGCTAGCATCAATTTGTTCAAATAACGCCTTTCCTCATTATTTTTTAACTTCTATTTCATCATAGTTAAGCTGTATAATAGTTATAGTTATAAAAAAATAGAAAAGTTATAAAAATAAGTCCAAATCTACTTCAAGACTATATAATCTGTTGAACTGGACAGGATTTTTGGTTTTTGCTCATTGTTCCCTTTTGGTTGGACAATTTCATTCCCAGTGTCTTCATATTTGAAATAATTTTTTTGGTCTTGTTTACTTATTCTTCAGGGTGAGTTTCACAATTTCTTAAGTGCAATACAGTGATCACAGGGGATATACTTGATATTTCATTAATTCATATTAACAGGGAAAACTGTTTAATAGACTTAATTTTGTCTATTCAGAAGATTTCCTCATTTATTCATGATTTTATGTCTCCTTTATCATTTATAATTTCCTTTACATAAGTTTTATATTAAAAATTAATGCACATTTTCTTTTCTGTCATGAATGAAAAATTTTTACAGAACTTTCAAGGTTAAGTGTCACTAGGTAAACATAATCAGGAATGCAAATGATTAGTGGGGACTTTCATACATCAACTTTACTAATCTTATTATCTCTCATCAGTTTTGATTGGTTTCCTTGGCTTCCTGGTGCTGACCTAGTCCTAAAAGTTTAGAGAGGCAGCAAAGTATGAAGAGTACATGGTCAAGGAGAAGGAAAACCTTAAATGATGACAGGCCTTTTCCTCTAATGACTAAAAAGCAGAATCTTAAGCAAATGTTATTCTTGTTTTCCTGCTAAATATAGTCTCTATAAGAATTGAAATTTCAAGATTTCTCTTACACGAATAATCATAAACTTGTATAATACCTAAGGGTGCTACAAGAGTGACTTATAATAAAAAAAATACCAGCAACAATTCAGTTTGTATCACTCTGGGAAGCCTTTTTACTTTGTTGTGTTAATAAATTATGTACCTTGAAAAATTATCTTCAAATATTTTTTAAAGATTAACTTAATTCTAAAACCACAAAAATCACTTACTTTCACCTTCCTGAAGCATTTTCAATAACTGTGCATTTCTTGCCTTTACTTCTTTATACTTTGCCTAATAGTCAAAGAAAAAAAGATTTAATTTTGTCAAGTAAATAATATAATGATTCACTATCAATTTATGAAGCTATGAGTTCTCAGCTTGCCTGAAGACACAAGTTATTTTTGGAAAAAACAGGATGGAGAAAAGTATATTCAAATTAAATACTTTTACGTAAATTAAATCCCTGGTATGATAATAGAAATTAGTATTATAGGTAACTGAAAAATAAAGAAGAGAGGGATAAAAGTGGAGAAAACTCATTTCCTGAAGCCTTTTTCTTTTCTTCCTCAAATAAAACCCTTAACATTTCAAAATAATTTGATTAAGATAAAAAGAAAAATGATTCATGGCTCTATACCAGTACTACACTCAATTTTCTGTATCTGCCTATATATATATGACTGTTAATGGCTGGAAATGCACCTACTGTGACTGAAAATATCCATTTTAAATTTTATTTAACTTTAAATTTTGGTACCCAAATATAGTGGTTACTGAATTGTACAGCACAGCTGTGTGTTCTCAGTTAAGATTAAATGTACTAATCTCTTGTTATTTCACTAACTAAATATTGTTAAAGAGATTTTTGGTTGATATGAATTAAGAATTTACTAAAATACCTTTTAATTATTTTTAAATTTTCTTCTCCAATGGCTTAGCTTCTTCTCATACTACACAAATGATGCAATTACACACTTTGAACAAGAGAAACTGTATTTACACATTAACCTCCATATTCTGAAGAATTTTTCACTCTAAACCCCATTTATTCAACACTCTGAATTACTTATAAATACTTAATGCATTAGAAAAAAATACATTTAATACATTATAGGAAAGCAAGAAATCAGAGAAACAGATCAGCATAAGAAACTTGTCAGTTCTTCTCCATGTACACAGATAAATACAAAAGTTACCAGATTCAAAGTCGTTCTTGTAAAACAAATTCAGTGTATTTTAAAATCAAGTCCAGTGAAGATGGATTTTACTAAATACTCTGCCCAGTAAATTGCTGATGATAAATCAGTATTGTAACTGGGTAATACTGCAGGTAATACACTGAAGAGAAATAAGTACAATAGTAAATAAAAGGGAGTAGGACTTCTGAGGATCTTAGGAATGAGTAAGAATGGTAAGTCAGATGGAAACATAAAAATATGAAGAAGGAACCTTACACAGTCAACTACAACTATATTCACTATGAATACAGAAATATATTTGCTGTGAATATGTAACTATATCTTATGAAATTCTAACTCTCAGGGCTTCAATATTAGTATTTCACTAAACTATCTCTAGTGAAAGCCTTTGTTCAAAGTTCAGATCAGTGTACATGATCATCTCTTAGAGCAGCCCTAGTGTCTAAAGTCAGCACTTAAAGAAAAAATTGCAAATGAGCAACATTACCCATGAAAATTCTTTATATTGCCCATAAAAATAACATTTAATATATACAATTACAAGCAGTAAACATATCTCTAAAAACATAAATTTATAAAATACTAATACCATGCAATTTATAATAAATAGCACAAATGAAATGTACAGTGCCCTTACTGGTATTTTTAACTTCATGAAAGAGAGCAATTGATGTTAAATACACATATGCTCTGACTCCACTGTGCCCCTACTGCACCGTGAACATCTATGCTGAATCCATAGCTATGTCAAGCTCAACATGTCCAAAATGGGATCTTATTATTTTCACTGCCTAAACTAGTTCAAAATGTGCTCTTGCTCTTATACTCAATACCCGTTCATTGTTTTTACCAGACTATGTTCACTCCAGGCCCTCGGCTATGTGCATTACCATCCCACAAAATAATCTTTGTGTCACTTCCCTTCTAAACTCCAACCCCAATTAACATCTCCAATTTCATGTTCTACAACTTCCTGTTTCTCTAAATGTCGGCAAGAATGTATTTACTACCATTTCCATGCCTTTCTACGCACTGGTCTCTCTAACTGGAAACCCCATCTTTTCTGTAAGATCCTTACCAATTTTCAGTAGCAAAAACTAATTCACTCCTGTTTCTGTGCTTCTAGAGCATTCAGTCAAATCTCAATTACAAAGTCTATACTGCAATTATTTATATGTTTAACTTCCCCATTAGACTATGAGCTTCTTGCTAACTTATCCTTGTATTCTCTGATGTGGGACATGGTATGTGCTCAGTGAAAGCAAAGAAAATATAAACAACAAAGAAAAAGCTAAGGGAAAGGAGTGAAGATTATTCTTAAAGGCATGAGTAGAGGAGGAGAGAAAATGTCATTAGAGTTGAACTTGATTTATCACTTTTTTCTCTGTTACAGATGCATGGCCCAGAAAGATACTTGAGATGAATAAAGAGATATCTTTTAAAGTGTAAGGAAGGAAGAAAGAGGGTAATAGATAGGTTTATAGTTAACATAAATTGTATATTAACAAGTATTAGTGAGCATGTGGAGAAAATGGAACCCTGTGCACTGCTAATGGGAAAGTAAAATGGTATAGATGTTAGGGAAAACAGTTTGGTGATTCCTCAAAGATTTAAATGTAGAATTACCATATGACCCAGCAATTCCACTCTTAGCTACATAACCAAAGGAATTAAAAGCAGGGACTCAGATACTTGTGCGCCAACGTTCATAGCAGCATTATTCCCCATAACCAAAAGGTGAAAATAATGCAAGTGTCCATGAAACAAATGAATAAACAAGGTGTGATATATACATACAACGGCATATTATTTAGTCATAAAAATTAATGAAATTCTGACACATGCTAAAACATGGATGAACCTTGAAAACATTATGCTAAGTGAAATAGGCCAGACAGAAGAAAACAAGTATTATATGATTCCACTTATATGATGTGCCCAGAATAAGCAAAATCATACAGACTAGCAGTTACTAGAGGCTGCAGGGAATAAGAAAATAAGGAGATGTTTACTGGGTACAAGAGTCTGTTTGGAATAATGAAAAAGTTTAGAAAAGAGAGTTGGTGGCTATACAATATTACAAAGGTACTTAATGCTACTGAATCGTACACTTAAAAGTAGGTAAAATGGCAAATTTAATGTTATATATATTTTACCATAAAAATAAATATTATTATTCTAATTGTATATCATTAATGAATTTAAAAACCTAAACAGAAGAAACACTATTTCGATCATTCAAACCTTAAACACAAATATATATAAGAGAACCAGAAACTGTGCAGATTACTAGTTTACAATAGTAAATAAATACAAACCTCCCATTGAGTGATCACATTTTTCAGTTTCTGGATTTCAGCATCTTTCCTTTCAAGTTCCAACTTTAGTCTTTCAATTCTTCCATCTTTCAGAACTACTTCCTGAAAAAAGAAAAAGACTATTTTAGAACACTGATAGTCTACTAATTCTGGTTTACAGTTTTCCTTTGTGAAAAGTTTAAGAAGGAAAATCCCAATTTTCTTTATTTTAATTCATTTTCTACAGCATCCTTAAACTGTTGACTGTATTTCCACCTTTACTCAATGATATAATTATATACAAATATGCAAGCAAATAAGATATTTATGATTAACCTAAACTACAAACATACCCTAGAATAATATTGGGGCTTTGAAATAATGTTTATGAATAAGCATATTAAAAGTGTTCTGTGACAAGTTTAGTCTATCTTTAAGACCCTCTAAAGTTGAAAACTTAGAAAAAATACAAAATAATAAAAAAATAAAAATAGCTTTCTCTATTATCAGCAATTAGCAGGTAGAAAATACAACTAGAAAAACCATTTTCTCCCAGTAGCAATAAAAAACATCCCCAAGAACTCTGAAATTTTCAGGATCCATAAAGAAAAGTATAATATACTGAAAAAGAAGGAACAAAAATGTAGACAGAAAGACTAAATATCACTAAATGTATTACTTTGTAAAGTCAATACTATTTCAATTGAAATTCCAATAGGATTTTGTACTTTGGAACTTAATAAGAGAGTCAAAACTTTATACGAGAGAATACAGGATGGAAACAAAGGTAATGCCAAGAAGAGAAATTTGCCTAACAAATATATACTATACAGAAAAAAGTAACTAAAACAGCATGATCATGGCATCCAGGTTGACAGAGCAATGCTATAGAAAAGAAAGTCTGACTGGGGAACTCAAGAGTTGGAAAATTTTAGTTTAAGGTAACAGTTAATAAGCCTAGCAGTTAATGCACCTAAAAAGCTATTGCTTCAGGAATTGCAGGTATGGCCCACCCTGACTCCAGGAGACCACAAGCCATCAACCTTTGTGCTCCAGAAGATACCATAAGCAATCCCAGAGAGAAGACAGTCCACTGCCCAGGACACAGATAAAGAAAATCTCCCAGGACACAGGGCACAGATAAAGAAAATCACTGGTCAGAAGATGAAAGGATGTTAGTTAAATCAGCTTTTATCTGATTAACTCCTTTCCTGAATTCTAAATCCCTTACCTACATTTCTTTCCCTTGAATTCCAAATTCCTTACCTACACTTTTACCCCCTTATAAAAAAGGCTGGCTTGAAAGGAAATGTAAGACAGTCTGTTAGGGTATAAATCCACAGTCTTCTCAGGTTGCAGGCCATCTGAATAAAGAGCCCATAAAGATTCAATCCCTCTCTCTGCTTACTGGGTCTGTCTCATAGATGACAGGCAGCACGAATGCCGGTTTTTCTGGTTTCCAGTCCAGAAAGAGGTTTAAGACGTAAGAAATTATTATAATATAAATATAGTATTTCTAAGAAGTGAAAATATGCTGAATAATGGTAGGTTACAATACAAACAGCTACCTAGGAAAAGTCGTTAAATCCCTCCATCTTGCACCACATACCAAAATAAACAAACTTAAATGCAAAAAAATCAACCCAAAGTCATACCTTTGATAACAGTATAAATTGGTTCTATTCATCTAATGAGTATGTGGAAACATCAACTTATTCTAAAAATATACCATGAGTACCTCACTGCTGCTGGGTGCTGAATATACAACGGGAAACAGAACTGAACAGATTATTGCCCTGGTGGGACTTGTCTGGTACAGGAAGCAGATGTAAAATAATAATAATAATAATAGTAATAAAATGCTACAATTAGAAACTGAGGTTTTTAAGGTATGAAGAAAAGAAGCATAACGATAAAAAGAGAATAATGTGGATTATTCAGGTAAAGGCCTAATCTTGGAGGGCCTTATAGACCATAAGTATGGTCTGCATATTATTCTGAGTAAAATAAAAGCAATGAAGGATTTTTTAACAGAACTGTTAAGATTTATGTTAGATGTATTTTTTTTAAAGATTTTATTTATTTATTTTTAGAGAGAGGGGAAGGGAGGGAGACAGAGAGGAAAGGAAACATCAATGCGTGGCTGCCTCTTGAACGCCCCTACTAGGGACCTGCCCCACACCCCTGTCCTGTGTTCTGACCAAGAATCCAACCAGCAACCCTTTGGTTCACAGGCCGGTGCTCAATCCACTGAGCCACACCAGCCACAGCAGATACGTGTTTTTAAAGGATGACTTTGGTTGATGTATGAAAAATGGTTTAGAGTGCGGTAAGAGAGGTGGAAAGACCCTGCAACTGCTACTACAAGTCTAGGTCAGAGACAATTAGGCCTTTGATTAGGGTGGAAGCAGTTTAAGTAGAAAGAAGTGTATCATGCAAGAAGTTATTTGGGAATACAATCAAGAACATTTGTTGAGAGGTTGTGGTAGGTGAGAAAGACGGACACTTCAAGTTTCTAGTTTAAGGAGTAAGGTGGGTGGACCAAAATTAGAAATATACATACGGTGAAGGGAGTAGTCAAAGAACATATACGTACGACCCATGGATATGGACAACTGTGAGGGGACTGACTGTAGGAATGGGTGTGGGATGAGTAGAGAGTGGCAAAAGGGGAAAAATTAGGACCACTGTGATAACATAAACAATAAAATATTTAAAAGAAAAAAACAGAATATACATACTATTAGGTCCAGGAATCTCATTTCTAGGAATTTATCTTAGAAGTTAAGGGGGAAGAGTATATATCAACACTCACTGTGATTTATTACAACAAAAAACTGGATGCCAGTTTAAATGCCCAACTATAGGGTAACATAAACTATATAATATAGTAACATGATCCCAAAATTGTAATGCTACATTCCAAGGAAAAATGCTGGGAGGACATAAAACAAAACTTTAATAACTCTCTTAGGACATGATATTATGCAAGATTTTCACTTCATTTAAAATTTCTTTTATCAAAATTGTTTTACACTGAATATATAATAATACAAAACACTAAGTTTGAAAAATGAAACCACATAAGTATTAAAATAGTATCTAGATAAATATGAATATCATCTTTGAGCAGGAAAGCCCTCTGAACATGATACCAAGGAGAGAAAACTAAAAAAGAGAGAAAACTAAAAAGAGAGATTTAACTTGATGGAAAATCTCCAAAAATACTATAATAAAATCAAAAGATAAATGAAAATCTGGAAATAGTTAAGTCACAACCAACATGACAGGCATATGAGCAAGAAACATGAAAAATATAATCTCCATAGTAAGCAAAAACTGTTATATCAAAATGGTACATTAAACTGTTTTTCTTAGTGTGGGTAAATGAAAACAATTTAGTTATTAAAAACTCAATTATTTAATGTTCAAGAATTACTTAATGACCTGCAATGCTCACCATCTGCATTTAACTAAAAAGTGGTCCATATGACCGTTTCTGTATCACAGGGGCGGGGGGCGGGGAGGGAGGGGAGGTGTGCGGGGCAGGGTATATATCCAAAGAAAAGTAGGACCACAAAATATGCACAGAAACAAATTGCATGAAATATAAATAGGCATACTGTGATATTTGTTGTAAAGTCTGGTAACAACCTACTAGACAGATTTCAAAACCTGTTAAATCAGTTGAGACTCTCAGTTTGAAAAGCACAGCCTAAGGGCTTGAAAAGTCAGGTCAAGGACACTGTAAGTCCTTACTTGAGGTCATGGATAGGTTCTGCAACTTTGAACAAAATAATGTATGACAAAACCATGTTATTTAAAGACATGCTATAGTTGATTCAACAGACACTGAAGTTTAGTAAGCCATGGAAAAGAAGACAGATTCGAAAAATATTTCAAAGATTAGTATCTCCCAAGCCTTAAAACAGAAAAGTGAAGAACGAAGTTTAGAGTCTGGATATCTAGATAAAATGATAAAACCAAAAACAGAAATAATGAAAGTTAAGCCAAACACCTGGTTTGTAGAGTAGATGACAAGCCTGAGTTTCAACATAGTGAGTATAAGGTTTCACTTGAATAAAAGGGTGAAATGTGTCATAAGGGCAATTAATAAAATGGAAATGTGAAGACTATAAAGGTAAATGAGATCTGGAATGGATGATCTATCCAATGCTAGTGAAGTTGTGAAGACATCATCCTGCTGATAGAAGACAATGTTGATACACATCAGAGCAACACAGATATGTATATCCTTTGACTCAATTACTCTTTTTAAGCATTTATCCCAAGGAAATAACTCACCAAAAAATTAAATACATGAAGATGTTCAATGAATATCAGGTGACCAATTCCAAACAACCTAAATGTTTGATAATAGGGTATGGACCAAGCAAATTACAGCATGTTGATTTGACAGAATATAATGTATGGTTTACAAAAGGACTATGAAACTATATTCCTTACTGTTACAATTATTTTAAAATACCTATACATGTGGTATTTCCCTAAAAAGGAGTATTCAAAAATGAAACCAAATGTTGTATTAAGTATGGCCAAATTAGGGTTGAATTATTTTTCACCTTTAAAAATTCCTGCCATATTAATTAATGTACAGTAAAAAAGTATCTTAACCTTGGCAAAAAGAAGAGCTTTCTTTCTCTGAGAAAAGAATACAATGGGGAGTGGAAGGAGGTAAAAAGAGAAATAGAGTATTTTTATAATGGCCTCAATCTTCTCTTTTTCCAGTTACACTTAATGACATGAGAAATAAATTTTTTAATTATGAAAAATTTCACACACATATATATAAACGATACAGATATGGTAAAAAGAAAAATAATGCAATATACAGATGAGGAATTTGAATATTGAAAAAAGTATAGAAGGTCCTCAAAAATAGAGTTAACACATGACCCAGCAACCTTTCCTCTGGGTATTTACCCCAAAAATTTGAAAATATTTATTTACAAAGATAATATGCACCCCTATGTTCACTGCAGCATCATTCATCGTGGCCAAGACATGGAAACAACTGAAGGGTCCTTCAATAGATGATTGGATAAAGATGTGTGGTACATATATACAATCAAATATTACTCAGCCATAAGATAAAATACTGCCACTTGTGACAATGTGAATCTATATTAAGAATATCATGCTGAGCAAAATAAGTCAGACAGAAAAAGTGAAGAACCATATGACTTCACTATATGTGAAATATAAAACTGAAAGCAGCAAATGAACATACAAGAAAAACAAACAAAAACTCACAGGCACAGACAACAGTACAGTGGTTACCAGAAGGAAGTGGGGTAGGAGGTATAATAGCAAAGGGTAAAGGGGGTCAAATATATGATAATGAAAGTAGGACTTTGGATGGTGGGTACACAATGTAATATACAGACGATGCATCACAGAATTGTACAGTTAAAACCTATAAAATCTTATTAACCAAGGTCACCCTGATAAATGTAATGAAAAAAAAGAATCTGAACATTACCGGTACTTTGGCATCCCCCATGTGCCTCTCCCTAGTCATATCCCTATACCTTCCCTCCTAAAGATATCTACTGTTATGAATATTATGTTTGCCATTCTCTTCCTGTTAAGTCTTTTACTACATATATGTGTGTTCCCTAAAATATATATTAAATTTTCTTCTTTTTGAAATTTATATAAATGGTATCAATTATTCGGTGACTTGATTTTTTTAATTAAACATTATGTTTTCAATATTCATCCATGTTGTTAAGTATAGCTGTCATTCATTTCTCCTATCAATTTTGTTATTACAAACAGCTGAGTTTTCAACATTCTTCTTGAACATGTCTCCAGGGTTTAATCTAGGGTAGAGTTTCTAGAACATACAGTCTGTTTATCATCTTCAACTTTAAAAGTTAATGCTAAATTGTTTTCTAAAATGGTTTTATACCAATTTACACTACCACTAGTAGTATGTTACCACTGTTTTATATCCATAACATTACTGAGCATTATCTGCCTAATTCCTGTCACTAGTTCTTATCTTCCTTTAGTTTTTCCTAGGCAGTGCAGTGGAAATTAGTATTATCGCATATAACTTTGTTCTCCTCTCAAAAATTCTTTATTATCTACAACTAAATCCTAATTTAGGCCTTTAAATCCTCCATAATCTTTTCCAACCACCAACCTTACTGAATTTATCTGGTACTATTTTCCTCTATGAGCCTTCTCTTCTAATTAAACTGGTTTATACTTCACTGCCCCAATACTTTTACTTACGGCATTCCAATTTCTTCTCCCTCACCTCTGCATGTTCAAATTCTACTGCCTTTTAAATCGTAATTCAAAAGCTATTTTCCTCTAAGAAAGCCATCTCTGATCTCCATTCATGTGAATTACTATCACACTTTTATCTTTTTTTAAACTTACCATTTTCTACCTTGTACAAAAATAATTATCTATTAAATGTGTACTGGGCACAACAACATGCTCTGCTAAACATTTTAAATCATAATTGCTAATTTTCCTGACATTACATGAAAGGTAGATAATCTCTTCCCAGTGTGACACAGCTGATAAGCTGCAGCTCAGAAGCTATATTTTGTGTTACTAGGTTTGTTTGATTTCAAAGACATTTGTCTTTCTACCACATTGCACTGTCCTATGATTTTTTTAAACCATAATATTACTTAATCATTTAACTAAACATACATACACAATTTTGTTTTACAAAGTTTGAGATATTTGTTGAATATATTAATATCATTATTTCTATCCAAAAATTATCTGATAGCTTAAAAAATAACAAGATATGGACCACAAAAGGGCAAGTCATAGTCAATAAAAAAGAAAAAAAGCAAATATGCCAACCATAAATGTTAAAATTAACATGGCTGCTTGGACTGTACATACACTTTGACAGTTGAGGCAAGACAGGAAAACATTAAATTTAATTCAATGCCAGAAAAGAAGAAACTCACAAGTACCTCAGGACAGGCAAGGATTACCCACTACTAAGTTGAAAATAGATTTTCATGTGGAATTGTGTGTTATTGACCAATGTTACTGCTGCATTGGAGTAAAGAGTTCTTAAGGGTCTGACTTCTTGTGTGCTATAAAACACAGTAGGTGTTTAATCTGCTGAATGACTGAATTTATCTGTTTCAGAAAAAGAAACAAAGAGACAACATCCATTGAGAAGAGTGACAAGATGGGATATGGGTTTTTAGAACTTGGAATTAGCCACTGTAGGAATATGTCAAGTCAGAAAGAGATGAATCAAAAAAGACTGTTAAGTAGGAAAAAAGATATGTAAAAGTTAGCACTGATTTTCAGAACAAAACATTAGCAATACCTGGCAGCCCAGGAATGAATGGTACATATTGGCAAGCAGAGAATAAAAGAAAATCAAGGAAGTAAGGGGAAACATTCACATATGAGGTAAAGAACAGGTTCATAGTTTAAGAGAAAGTAAGACAGAAGATCAGAAGTTGTGGTAAAAAAAAAACACAACAGAGTTATAGGTCTCTATATGATATCTTGTTTTTTAAACAGTATTTTTAAAATGTGAATACCATTCTTTTGGCTTGTGGGATTTACAAAAATAGACTGCTAACCAGATTTGACTTGCAGGCCATATTCTGCAACCCCTATTTTACAGGTTAAAATTCTAACTTATTTTCACATAAAAACACCTTTACAGAATCTAAATGCAATCTGTTTCTCTGGTTGTATTATCTCACACTCACTTAACTCTGTACGTCTTAGATGCAGTATCTTTCAGTTTCCTGAATATTCAGTCTAAGGCCTTTCATAACTCTGGGACTGTTCTTGCAGTTCTCTTAGGCTTCCTCCATTTCTCAGCTTACTTATTCAGTTACTTATTTATCAAAGTCCATCCCAAATGTCACTTATTTATATACCTTTCACAATTCACCCAAGTGATTTATTACCTTTTCTATTAAAAATCTCTTTATTGTTTATATTTCTCTTAAAGCCTTCATCATGCTAAAGGATATTCTTTTTACAGGTCTACTTCCTCCAGTCCCCACTGCTTTGAGTGTTTAAGGAAAGGGCTGTCTTAACTATCTTGGTATTCCTACTCCCCTACACTGGAGCCTAACAGTAGTACCTTGTTATAGCACATGTTCAGTAACTACTTATCAATGAATGAAGTACTTCATACTTTTTAATATAAACATCTATGACTAAGACAAATCCTAGCTATAACTCAATAGAATCATAATTGGATTCCACTGCTTATTTTTTAAAAAAAGAAAATTTGTATTTTAATTTTACTGTGATTTTAAGAGAATTTTCTATTTTACATGCCTGGTAGTGTTCATGAGTTGCACAATTATCTGTTCCATTATATTCTGTAAGCTGTTCTCTTCTTTTTTCTCTAATAAGAATTTTATGAACATCATCTTCCAGTCTATTGAAGAATCCTCCATCATGTGATAAAGTGTGAGAAGAACTCAATTCCTGTCAAAAATGAATTATGATTTACTATCATTCAACACAAAAGTGTATGCATTTAATAAACCTAATCAGCCACTAAAAGGAGAAGAAAATGGATAACTGAGAGACAATCAACCATCTACTTCTTCTCTTTTTCAATAAGATAAACAGTAGTGACACATTTTGAAATGTTTTCTTCTTCGTATTTTTGAATTGGGTGCTGCTTGATTTAAAAAATATTTTTTATCCATATACCATAAAATCCACCTATTTAATGTGCATAATTCAATGGTTTTCAATGTGCTCATAGAGTTGCACAACTACAACTGCAATCAATTAAAAAAAATTTTTAATCCTCCCCGAGATATGTTTTATTGATTTTAGAGAGAGAGAAAGATCAGAGTGAGAGAAAAACATTGAACAGATGCCTCCCAGATGTGCCCTGACTGGAGATCAAACCTGCAACCTAGGTATGTGCCCTGTCAAGGAACAGAACCTGCAACCTTTGGTGTGCAGGAGGATGTTAGAATAGAGCCACCAGGCCAGGGCCCACAATCAATTTTATAACAGTTTCATCACCCCAGAAAGGAACCTTGAATTTATTAGCAATTGTTCCACATTTGCTCCTAATACAGCTCCCCCTCAGCTGTCCCCTGGGCAAGTCTAATCTACTTCCTGTCTGTATAGACTTGCCTATTCTAGACAGCCAACTTAAATGAAATCATAAATAATATGTGGTCTTTTGTGACTGGCTTCTTTCACTTAGCAAAATATTTTCAAGGTTCATTTATATTATAGCATGTATCACTATTTTATTCCTTATTGTCAAATAGTATCCCATTGATGGACATACCACATTTTATTTCTGCATTCATTGGTTGATGGACATTTAGGATGTTTTCATTTTTGGCTATTATGAATAATGCTGTTATAAATAATCATACACAGTTTTTGTATGGATATGTTTTCAATTCTCTTAGGTATATGCCTCAAAAATAGAATTTCTGAGACATATGGTAACTCTATGTTTAATCTTTTGAGGAATTTCCAGAGTTTTTCAAAGCAGCCATACCATTTTACAATCCCACCAACAGTACAAGAATTCTAATTTCTTTGCATTCTCACCAACACTTGTTATTATCAGTCTTTTTTATTATAGCCCCTGGAATGGGTGTGGAGAGGTATTCCACTGTGGTTTTGAGTTGCATTTCTGATGCATCATTTCATGTGCTTATTACACATTTGCATATATTTTTGGAAATACATCCATTCAGATCCCTTGCCCACTTTTTAATTGGGCTGCTTTTTATTTTTGAATTCTAAGAGTCCTTTATATACTCTAGACACAAGTCTCCTATCAAATATATAATTATTTGCAAATATTTTCTCCCATTCTGCGGATTATCTTTTTACATTCTTGATAGTGTCCTTTGTGCATAAAAGTTTTTTATTTTGATGAAGCCCAATTTTTCCAAGATACTACCATAAAACCCACGGTCACAAAGATTTACTCCTATATTTTCTTATGAGAGCTTTATAGTTTTAGTTCTTACATTTAGGTCTGCAATCAATTTTCAGTTATTTTTTTGTGCATGGTGTGAAGAAGGGGTCCAAATTCATTGTTTTGCATGTGGATATATAGCATCGTCTATTGAGAAGATTATGTATTCTTTCTCCACTGAATTCTTTTGGTATCCTTGTTCAAAATCACTTGAACATAAATGTAAGGGTTTCTTTTCTGGACTTTTAATTCTGTCAACCTTTATGGCTACCATTACGCCATACCACACTGGTTTGATTACTGTTGCTGCTTACTGCTTAATCTTTTATAATACATTTAAAAATAATTTTACATAAATTATATACATCAATTATAGACACAAAATTTTATCACAATCTACTCAACTACATAAAATTACAAAATTTACATTTCTCCATGAAAAGTAGCACTGCCTCTCCAACTTCCTGTTCTTAAGTCAAAGACTGAAGAAAATGTTCCTTTGGCTCTCAAAAATTTGACCTATGTCCTTCATTCTTGAGCTACTATAGTCTTAATTTTATCCATCTTAATTGAATTTGTGAGCAAATGACCAAACAGCTAACTGTTCATCCTTTTCTCCTCACTTTATGTTAGAAAGTGTTTAAGAAAAAAAATTTTTATATCAGTGCTTAATAAATACACAAATTACATTAAAAACTTTGTACAGCACTTTCTATTTTGCAAAGAACTTACACAAACATGACTTCATTTGAATCTCATCAAGAGGTTGATAGGTGAATGATTTCCCCACAAAGTAATCATGGCCTCAGCAAAGTTAAGTAAGTTGCCCAGGAGTCACTCTATTGCTAAGTGGTACAGATATAACTCTTAAGTCTACTGCTTCGAAAAATATTTCTGGTATACTCCAGTAAGATTATATTTTAAAGTAACAAATACAGCATACTCAAAACACTGCTGAGCTTCTGTGGAAGGAATAGCATGATGGTGGCAACTAATCAGCCTACGGATTTCACTTCCCTAAAAACTGCAGCTCCAAAAAACAGAAACAGAGGCATGGTTACATGGAACAGACTGACAACTGTCAGGGGAGGGGGCTGGATTAAAGAAGGTGAAGGGATTAAGTAAAAAAAGAAAAAACACATTATATATTTAACACACAGACACAGACACAATGTGGTGACAGCCAGAGGCAAAGGTGGGTGGGGATAGGTGGAGGTGGGCAAAGGGAAGATAAATGAGGACAGAAAAGAGACCTGCTTTTGGAGACGGGCACCCAAGGCAATGATGCAAGTGATGTTTTGTTGAATTGTACACTTGAAACTTACATGGTTTTGTGAACCAATGTCACCCCAATATATTCTATTTAAAAAAAAAACCAAAACAGCCCTGCCTGGGCAGCTCAGGTTGCAGGTTCAATCTCTGGTCAGGGCACATACAAGAAGCAACCAATGAATGAATAAATAAGTGAAACAACAAATTAGTGTTGATGATGCAACCGATCGGTGTTTCTCTCTCACATTGATGTTTTTCTCCCTCTCTTTCGCCCTCCCTTCCCCTCTCTCAAAAAAGAAAAAAAAAAAAAAGGTGAGGAAGAAATCAAGAAATTCCCAAATAAATAAAAGCTGAGGAAGTTTTTGACTACTAGATCTGCACTTCAAGAAATGCTTAAGGTAAGCCTGGCAAGGTGAAAAGGAAGTAGACAGTAATTCAAAGCCAGAAATAAACATCTCAATAAAGATAAATATATGGAAAAATAAAAGCTGGTATTATTATAACAATGGTATGAAACTGTACTTTTTGTTTACCACATGATTTAAGAGACTAGTATATTTAAAGAAAAAAATTATTATAAAAGCTCATGTTATTATAACTTTGGTTTTTAACTCCAAATCTTGTTTTCTATATAATTTAGGAAACTAATTCATTTAAAATAATTATTAGTTTATGTGTTGGGGCATGCAGTGTTATAAAGATATAATTTTGTGACATCAACAACTGAAGGGGTAAGGATGGCAGTATAAAGAAGCAGAGCTTTTAATGTTATTGAAGTTAAGTTACTATAAATTCAAATTTGTGTTTTAACTTTAAGATATTAAATGTATTCTTCATGGTAATCACAAAGAAAGGGCCAGAGAATATATAAAAAAGGAAATAAGGAAAGAACTTAAACATTTCACTACAAAAAAAATCAACTGACTACAAAAGAACACAATAATGCAGGAAATGAGGAATCAAAAAGAGCTATAAGGCATATAAAAAACAAATAGCACACTAAAAAAAGTCCCTCCTTATCAACAATTACTTCAGACAAAAATGGATTAAACTCTTCAATCCAAACACAGAGACTGGCAGAATAAATAAAAACATATAATCCAACTATATGTTCTCTACAGAGACTCAGCTGAGATCCTAAAACACAAATAGGCTGAAAGTGAAAGAACTGGAAAAGTATATTCTGTGCAATTATTAATCAAAAGAGAGCAGGGATGACTATACTAATATTAGACAAAATAAATCATACATTAAAAAAACTAGACAAAGACATGTATGTATATATTTTTAATCCTCACCCAAGAGCATATTAATTGATTATAGTGAGGGTGGAAGAGACAGAGAAACATCAACAAGAGAGAAACACCAAATGATTGCCTCATATACATGCCCCAACTGGGGACTGAAACCACAATCTAAGTATGTGCTCTGGCCAGGGATGGAACCTGCAACCTTTTGGTGCATGGCATGATGCTCCAACCAACTGAGCCAACCAGTCAGGACAGCAAGAAAACATAAAATAATGAACATTTACATACCTAATAACTAAAAAAATATATGAAGCAAAAATATATATATATATATGAAGCAAGCAAAATTTAACAGATTTGAAGGAAAAAATAGACAGTTCTACAATACTAGTTAAAGACTTTAATACCCCGCTCACAATAATGAATACAATAACCATACAGGAGATAGGTAAGGAAAGAGAGGACTTAACACAATAAATTTAGGAGATCTAACAGACATAAACAGAACACTGACCACCAAGTGGGTTCTTCGAGCAAGCTGACAGGCGGTATGTGACAGGTGATGGGGGAGTGACGGGATTGTACAAAAAGAAAAAAACTCATGGACACAAAGTATGGTGATTGCTGGGGGAGGAGGGATAAGGGGAAGTGGAGAAGGGTATAGGAGGGATAGGTGGTGATGGATGGAGACCTGACTTATGGTGGTAAACACACAATATATTAGTATACAGATGATGTGTCGCAGAACTGTGCATCCAAAACCTGTATAATTTTGTTAACCATTATCACTCCAATATATTCAATAAAAAATAAAGTTGGTTCTTCAAAAAGGTCAACAAAATTGACAAATATTTAGCTACATAGACTAAAAAAGAGGGGAAGACTCAATTAACTAAAATCAGAAATGAAAGTAGGGGCATTACTACTGATTCTACAGAAACAAGAAGGATTGTAACAAAGTACTATGAACAAATGGTATGTCAAATAAATTGAATAACCAA